CGTTGCGGAGCACAGGCTCCGGATGCGCAGGCTCAGCGGCCATGGCTCACGAGCCCAGCCGCCCTGCGGCATGTGGGATCTTCCCGGACCGGGGCATGAACCCACGTCCCCTGCATAGGCAGGCGGACTCTCAACCACTGTGCCACCAGGGAAGCCCTGTCTTTGCCTTTTGAAATTGTGATTATGATGTATCCCAGTGTGGGTCTTTTGATTTCATCCTATTGGGAGGTCACTGAAATTCTGGATGCTTATATTCACATCTTTCATTAGATTTGGGAAGTTTCCAGCCATTATTTCTCCAAATATTCTCTCTGTCCCTTTTTCTCTGTCTCCTACTGGGACTCCCATGCTGCATGTTTGTTCTCTTGATGGTGTCCCACACAGCCCTTTGGCTCTGTTTCTTTTCTTCAATCTTTTCTTTCTGTTCCTTAGACTTGATCATTTCCATTGTCCTATCTTCAATTTTGCTAATTCTTTCTTCTGCCTGCTCAAATCTGCCTTTGAATCCCTCTAGTGATATTTTCATTTCAGTTACTGTACTTTTCAGCTCCAGAATTTCTTTTAGTTTATCTTTGGGTTTTCTATCTCTTTATGGATATTTCCACTTTGTTCATACATCATTTTTTTGATTTTCTCCACATCTTTCCCTTGGTTCTTTGAGCATCTTTAAGACAGTCGTTTTAAAGTCTTTGTCTAGTAGATCTGCCACTGGGTCTTTTTCAGAGACAGTTTCTGTTGATTTATTTTTTTCCTTTGAATGGGCCATACTTTCCTGTTTCTCTGTATGACTTGTGAATTTTTTTGGTTGAAAACTGGACATTTGAATCTACTGGATAAAAGTTTAGAATTGAGGCTCTAAGCTGTGTATCAGTGTTTGAATCATTATGTGTCTGCCATTCAGAAAAGCATTAAGTGTAAGTAATAATGTCTTCCTACCTCTACATGGTATTAACAAGTTAATATTATAATGTTTCTTGAGCAAAAGAATCTCTATTCTGACTGGAAAAAGTATTCTTTTTTTTTTTATTGTATTTTTTTTCTTGGGACACAGCCCTCTCACTGTTGTGGCCTCTCCCGTTGCGGAGCACAGGCTCCGGACACGCAGGCTCAGCGGCCATGGCTCATGGGCCCAGCCGCTCTGCGGCATGTGGTATCTTCCTGGACCTGGGCACGAACCCATGTCCCCTGCATTGGCAGGCGGACTCTCAACCACTGTGCCACCAGGGAATCCCAGAAAAAGTATTCTTATAGAGCCTAACTCAGAAATATTTTAGGAATCTAAGTTCACATAGTTGGGTAAATTTTTGGTAAATAAGATTAGTTTAATAATTTTGATTTAATAAAAACAGCTACATCTTTTCTGATTTACCAGAGTTAGGTATAACATTAAGTGTGTGTTTTTATTTTATATTGATGTGCTCTTCATAAACTTATACAGGTTATGCAGACCTAATCAGCTAGTATTACTTGTACTTAATGTTTAAGATCATGAAAAATATAAATGTGTTTAATCAAATTGAATATTTATCCTGACCAACTTTGTTTCAGCAGTTATTATGTTTTATAGTATGTCAGCTTGATGATAAAGTTCCAACATCTTTATGTAACTTAAAACACTGGACTGGTATTAAATTGAGCTAATTAATGGATATTCACTGGATACTTAGATTATTTCTAAGTAAGACAGAATAGTGAAACAATAATAGCTAAGCATAATTTATATGCTTTTACTTTCTATTTTTATTACTATAGAGAGGTTAAATCTTTGGGTCTGTTAATGAATGTGTTTGTTTTTGCCACTTAGATTGTATAAGGGATGTTTGTGTTTGTCTGTAGAGAGTCGTCCTGTCTGGTCCATGAGCTCTGTTAGTCTGCACTTCAGCTGCTATGCGACAGTTCACCATTGTAAACCTCCTCTCTCTCAGGTTTCTTGGTGAAATAGATTGGAAAGTACTTAGGTTAAAAATTATGATTAATATAAGTGGCTGAGACTATATTTAGGAACAATAGTTTCACAGGAATCCAACAGAATACATGCCTATTTTTCTAGGGACTGCAGGTGAAACCTGGTGGAGAGAGTTTCTTAGTTTTCACTCCCTGCTCTCAGGACAGCAAATAATGGAGGCCTTTAAAAGCCAATTTGGAACTTCCCTGGTGGTCCAGTGGTTAAGAATCCGCCTTCCAATGCAGGGGACGTGGGTTCGATCCCTGGTTGGGGAACTAAGATCCCACATGCCACGGGGCAACTAAGCCTTCGCACCACAACTACTGAGCCCACGTGCCGTAAACTACAGAGCCCATGGCTCTGGAGCCGCATGCTGCAACTAGAGAGAAGTCTGTGCACCGCAGTGAAGATCCTGCGTGCTGCAACTAAGACCCGACGCAGCCAAAACTAAAATAAAAAAAAAAGATCCTGTTAAAGGCCAATCTGTGACTCCTTATAAGAAGTTCCAGTAAAGTAAACTTAAGGCTTATCTGGTTGCCACAAGTATATAAATAATCAGACCAAATCTGATGAGACTAGCCTTATTTTGTGATCAAAATTTATCTTGAGGGGGCTTCCCTGGTGGCGCAGTGCTTGAGAGTCCGCCTGCCGATGCAGGAGACGCGGGTTCGTGCCCCGTTTCGGGAGGATCCCACATGCCGCGGAGCGGCCGGGCCCGTGAGCCATGGCCACTGAGCCTGCGCATCCGGAGCCTGTGCTCCGCAAATGGGAGAGGCCACAACAGTGAGAGGCCCGCATAACGCAAGGAAAAAAAAAAAAAAAAAAAAAAAAAATTTATCTTGAGATTTTTTTCCATAAAAATGGAGGTAAGTGTAGGAAAAACATTTGTACTTCAATAGAAAACTATGCACTATCTATAGTCCATAGTCTGTAGACTGAGCATTGCATATAGCCGTCCACATAACCTGATTCTGATTCTGTGTGAGCTACTTTACAACTCTGTAAGCTGCAGATAATTGATAGCAATGCAAAATAATTCAACGTGTCTACAAACATGTAACTTCTGTCCAGTGGAGGTTTAGCTGTGGAAGAGGCCAGTTTTGCCTTGATTTGCACATTCATTTCAACATTCCTGAGCTGTAAGTATACCTTTTAAAAAAAATTCTCCTTTGCACTCGTCTCACCAATTTCCTCATCAATTAGTTGAAAAAATCTTTAACATGCATTCATTTTTGTATCTAATTAGGAGTCTCGATTTTGCCTTTTGAAAATTATTCCTTAATGTTACCTACTTTTACAGATGGGCACACTATTTGCAAATAGGCATGTTTCCAAAATTAGGCTGTAACATGTACAGTCTAATTATAATGCAGGTGTAGATTTTACTTTTTATCCTTTTCAATTCTTTTCACAGAACATTAAGGAAAAACAACCCTATAGCACAGCACCGAGCTTCGTGACGGAGTCTAAAGAGTCGTGTTAGCTTAGTGTGTTTGTTTTTCAGTTGTCTATTTATGTTTTTTAAACTAAAATGTGTGCACCCTATGTGCATTACTCCACTCAATCCAGAAGAATTTTGCAGAAGTGGCTGATGAAGTCAGAGTGACTGGCGGAAATACTAACCCTGTTTCTTTTGCTATTGATGGAGTTGACAAACACCCATCTCCTCCAAACCTTTTGCCCTCTTGCATCCTCTAACTTTCTTATGGACTAGTATTTTGAACAGTTGGGGAAGGTGGATGCCCAATTATTTCTGAGTCTTTCTTAATTAAGAACAGGGAAAATTTTCATGGCCCTGAAGGAGAATATGAAAAGGGTTCAGGGGGTTAATTTTCTCTCCTCAGCCGTCTTCTGCTTCAGTAGCTTAGTGTTAAGTCAACACATACACCTACCATCCTATTCTTCACCTCTAACTCAATTAAACATACTTTATAAAATTTTCCCTATCTCCCACTTCTAAATGATCTGTTCTTTAAACACCCAGAGCAATTACTGTCCAGAAAATCCATTTGGCAAATTACCATGAACTTCTTATAACTGGTGTCTACTAGTTATTTAGAGCACATGCGTATTTTTTATTTTCCCAAATGAATGATACGGTCCACGAGGACAGAAACTTTTTCATTCTTTACTACATCCACTAGAGTGCTTCTCACTTATTGAAAAATTGAGAAATTTTTGTTGATTTAATATTGAAACTCATTTTTTGTTGTTTTTCTAAAGAAAAGGGCAGAAGTAAAGACCTAGTGGAGGCAGGTTTGGTTGGCACGTACTCTACGTTAACTGGATATCCAGTATCTGTGTGTCCTAATGTCTCAATGTAGATTTGTTAATGTTTTCTTTCTTAGGCTATATAAGGCAGACCGAATAGATTGTGGACAAACAGCATATGGGTCATGTAACACTACATGCAAGTAGATGTTTGATAAATGTTAGCACTAAGGATGAGGATTACAATGGGGATTCCATTAGATTGTGAGATCCTTAAAGGGAGAGAATTCTAATTTATTTTTCTATCTCTGACCCTAAGACTCAGCACAGTGTCTGTGTCAGTTATTCATTGTTGTCTCTCAACTCCAAGTCCACCCTTCTTTGTCTTGCTTTGTGACTCTGGAACTGGACTCTTTAAACACTTCTCCTTTGGCAGCTGGCTTTGTTGACAGAGGGCACTGGAGGGGCACTACGTGGTCATCACAGGTGGGAGGCATTTCCCTTCTGTCCCCCCTGTACCCTCTGGCAAGTGTCTTCAGCACCACTGGGATGCAGGTGGCTGTCCTGTCGCAGCCCACTCTCTCCAAGGAGATCTGAAGCAAACTTGGTCGAGGGCGAGGGAGCTTTCGTGAGCCTTAGTTTCTTCCTTGTTTACTCTTTCAGCCTAGGGGTAGTAGCTGCTTTCTGCATTTGCTCCTTCTGGAACTCTTTGAGTCTTCTTTCATAGCTTTTAGTGGTTAACTTAGTTAAATACTTTTCACTGAACAGATTTTTAATATTCAGTTACTGATGCGGTTTCCATCTTCTGACAGGACTCTGACTTACGGTGCCTGATACTAAGTTGAATGATGTAGGCAGAATGACAATATCACTTGTTCTAAAGGAGTTCATTTTTCCCCCAATAACTTCATCTTCAAGAATAAGAGGTGGTGGTGGAGAGAATAAAGCTACTCTTAATGGCACATACTCCTAACTCAGTATTTATAAGGCGGCTGACACTTACCATTTTCCAGTCCTGGGGTTGGCCATCTCCGGGGGAACAGACATCAACTTTGCAAACTCCAGTTTGGCTTTGTAACCAGTCAACCCTATCCGACATCTGCAAGAAGAAAAAAAATGAGAATGGGTCATCAAAAGGGCTAGTTATACGGAAGGAGAAATAAGGTAAAAGGCTGAGATGTGGAAAACAGGAGAGATGCTTTCCATAGAGACCTGTCCCAAGAGCTACTCCACACCCACTTAACTCTGGACCTCTTCATCCTCAGCTCCCAACTGCAGGAAGATTTCTTAAGCATATGTATCTCTAGTGCAGAGGGCAGAGGCTGGTGTATTCTAGAGGTGCTTAACATAGATTTGGTCATGAATGAACCTAAGCAGACATGTCCTGCTCTCTGTGTCCTGGCTTGACAGACCTTCCAGATCTTGGATTTTCAGTACATGCTCAAAGCTCAATGTGATCAGAGTAGAATTAATTTACTTGTCCCTCTCTGTTCTTGCCTCCACCAACTTTGTACAGTAATGTAGGCTTCACTGTAATTAATTCCTAGAGCACTAACTTACTTATATTATCAGCGAGTCTAGTATCTCTTCCTTAAGATTAAGGGCTTCCTTAATCCCTCTTCCAATTAGCCAGGGGTCCTGGAGGAATTCTCATTCTCCAAGGTTCCACCAAGTATCTGAATGCCAGGAGAAGGGAGACGTCATATGCACCATCCAAAGGGCCCTGGAGGCAGTGATGTCCTTGCTGATGTGGATTTTTTCATAAGCTTCCCAACTCTTTGCTCTGTTCCCTAACCTCTGTAATAGCACCACCATCTACCTCGTCTTCCAGAAAGCTGACATTTATTTTACGTGTATTCTTCCCTCCCAAGCCTCCTCTAGCTACTATTTCTCTCTTCTCCCATTTGTAGTCATTTTTCTTGGAAGAATTGCTTATACTTGCTGCTTTCACTGCCTCATCTCACAAGTGAGCATCATGGTCCCTAATCCAAATACTCCTTGGCCTTTGGCCTTAGTCTCATCCACTTTCTGCAGCACCACATCTCTGCTAGTTCTTGGAAACAGGACTAATTTTCATATTTGCCCACTGATTATCTACAAGTATGGGCAGCTTCTCTCTGCCCTCTTTTTCCATGACAATGCCATTACCAGGCTTCCACACTGAAGTTTCCCTTCTTGTGTTACAAATGTTGCTTAGATCTATACTTCTTAATAAGCAACATGGGATAAGATGGCCAATTTTTCCTCCCCAATGCCCCACAAACATCTTTGTGAAACACGCATATATAGTTATATTTTAATTCCAACAAATATACTGGTTTAAAATTCTGTTATAATAAAGTCCAAAAGCTTATCCTAATTTTTTTTAACAATGGAATTGTGTTGTAAAAATAATTGCTTGAAATAAATGGAGCATTATTAGGGGTTGAATATCTGGTTAATTGGAAATATTTGCTTTAATGGACTGTAGGTCGTGGTGGGGTATACATCTCCCCCACAAATAAAACCAACACAACTCAAACACAGATTACACACAATTTAAACTTAATTGTAAATGGATTTATTATTTTTGTTATACGTAACATTATGGGTAATTACTAAAAAGAAAATATAAGATCTTTCAAGAGCTACCTGTTCTTTGCTCCCAAAAGAATGCATTCCTGTTTTCACACCCCACTAACTTAGATTACTGAGCTGGGGAAACAGCTTTCTTTTCTCTTCCTAACACTGTAATACAACAGATTCCTTGAATAAGCAACGGGTTTTCCACCCTGATTAGACCTTAGAATCGCCCTGTTTAAAAATACTGAAACTTAGGATCAACTGTTTAAAAATACTGTATCCGAGACCAATCCCCATAGAATCTTATTTCAGTGGTTTTAGGCTGTGGAAATGTAGGCACTGAATTTCTTAAAAGCTCTCTGGGCGATTCTAATGTACATCTAGAATTGAGAACCCCTGGGCCTGGGCTTATATGGAGAGATCCTCTCTGCAATAGACTTGCAAGCTCCGGAAAGATAATTATTCTTTTCTTTACAAATTTTCGGGCTTCCCTGGTGGCGCAGTGGTTAAGAATCCGCCTGCCAATGCAGGGTACACAGGTTCGATGCCTGGTCTGGGAAGATCCCACATGCCGCGGAGCAACTAAGCCCACGCACCACAACTACTGAGCCTGCGCTCTAGAGCCCGCAAGCCGCAACTACTGAGCCCGTGTGCCACAACTACTGAGCCCGCGTGCCACAACTACTGAGCCCGTGTGCCACAACTACTGAAGCCCATGTGCCTAGAGCCTGTGCTCTGCAACAAGAGAAGCCACCCCAATGAGAAGCCCATGCACTGCAACAAAGAGTAGCCCCCGCTTGCCGCAACTAGAGAAAGCCCGTGCGCAGCAACGAGGACCCAACACAGCCAAAAATACATAAATAAAATAAATAAATTTTAAAAAAACCCAATGGATATATTCATTGAAATATTTACAGCTCTGCAGGTTAACATTCCGGAAGCTAAGAATTTTTTCTATGGCCAATAGAGGGACCCTGTGGACAATGGAAGGACTGACCTAAAATGTTCCTTAAAAATGTCAATGTGATTATTACCTCAAGAGATAACTGAGGAGTGCAAATCATGAATCAGGAGTGCACAACAATACAGGGGCTTGGTTATGGTGCTGTATCCCAGACCACAGCTCCATCTCAGAGACATGTTTCCTGTATTCATCATAAGGATGAGCTCTTGTTTACTCAAGGTTCCTAAGCTCACAGAAAAACTCAAATTTACAGGCAGCATAAATGAAGCTTTTGCAGGGTTGATACATATCTGATCAAGTTTTGAAATTTATTCGACTAGTTTTCATTACTAGTTTAAAAAAGGAAGAATATATTCTATTACATCTATTCTCTTTTTCTCTCTCACTCCCTTTCTCTAAGTGCCTGGCGTATAGTAGACACTCAATAAATTTGGTTGTTGATGAAATCAGTTTCATGCGATTTTGTTTAAATAAGGATTAGAAAAGTGTGTGTGTGTGTGTGTGTGTGTGTGTGTGTGTGTGTGTGTGTGTGTATCTTTTTCTCAGTGGCACCACTCACTGTTCAGCTTTCCTGTGGATCTCCTATAGTTTCACTTTCCCTTAGTAATAACCTCTTCCTCCATTGCCCTGTTAGTACAGACATTTTCTCCACAGACCTACATATATCCTGCCTTCCCCCAGTTCTCTGTTGTCTAGCCACGGAGTCAGAACTAACAGTGAGAGGATGGAAGTGGATGAGAATTGGGGCTCCAAGCTATACCAGTCTGACTTTGCTATTAGAGCACTGGGAACAACAATAACAATAAAAACAAAAACAACAACTCTTGGAACAGCCACACATAAATAGGAAAAGTCAGCACACAGTCAAGCTTCCAGTCACATCATGAAATTGGAAAGCAGACAGTAAGACCCCCTCATGTACCCAAAAGTATGGCCAAGGAGATCTGATCAATCTGCAACAAAATTAAAACTTCAACAGCAAAGATGGTACGTTCAGCTGTCATGGTACTGAGGGAGAGGCTCATTTATTTCCAGAAGATTCTGATGTGAAACTAAAATTGACCGGGCAAAGAGGGAGGCGAGGTTGAACATTAAAAGTTAGCCCAGCACTTATCACTGAATTCTCCCTTTTTACCACAGAGGATCAGAAAATGGGCTGTTTTCTCAGTCCAGTGGGACTTCCTACCTCTGTAGCACTGGAATAGTTAACCACAGAAGACTCCAGAATATACTTTTAAAGTCAATGAAGATGCTTGGATGTTCGTGCTCAGCTCAAGATCTTGCTTCCTCCCCGCAGCCTTCCATGTACCTCCCCCTTGTTGGGACTGGAGAGTGACATCAGAATCACAACTGGTGATATCACTGTCTCCACGGCAACAGTGGTGAGGCTACCAGAAACTGAGTGATCAGAGGCCAAGGGGAGGGGTGAAGATACATTCCAAGGCTTGGATGCTTAGTTTGGAAGGACTGGCCTTGCTTTCTCCAGATTAATTTTCTCATTTAAGTGTCTAATTTTGGTAGGGAATACGGGAGGGGGAATTTATGCCAGTGGATTCCACTTAAAAGAACGAAGTAAGTATTACACATGAACAAATCCAGATGGGTGCAGAGAATAAGAAATTAAAGAATTGAGGGTCTACTAAATTTTTTATGCAAAGCCCATGGAATCACTTCATTTTGTGGGGTCCAGCCTGGACTCTTCTTGATTATAAGCATCTTAATTTTTATAAAAAAAAAAAAATTCTGAGATATTTTGCCTACACTGGGTTATAATCAATCTTAGATGGTCAGAGATGCAGGAGCACTAATCCATCCTCTGCAATTCTCGACCTGAGGAACCATACTGAGATTGATCAGACCAAGAACATTTGGTTGGCCATTTCTAGGCTTGAGGAGACTTTATTAGCAGTACACTCTCTTTGGAATGTTACCTTAGGTACTCTTAATGACTCTCTGAACACCGCTACAGGATAAAGATTAAAATTGTTAATGAATTCAAAAACGACTTACTGGTTTACCAGCTTCCTTCAACAAGGTTATTTATCTACTGATAATCTTTTATATTGTTTCAGTTTCTTCATCTTTAAAATAAAGAAATTGAGTTTGCTCATCTCTTAAGATCCCCTCCAGCTCTAACATTCGGTGATTTTGATACTTGAGTGCGATGTGAACAGAACACACGTACACTCATACAGCACTTTGCAGCTGACAAAGAGCCTTCACGTCCATGTCATTTGATCCTTATGGTAGCATTCTGAGGCAGGACAAGTGTTCTCTTCCCTGTCAGACAGATGTACAAGCTTACCCAGCTCACACCACATACCTGGTAGACTAGAACTGGCTCTAACGTTCTGAGTTCTAAGTCGATGCTGTCTCAGCAATATCATGCCACCTGGAAAGCAGTATTGAGAATGTGAAGCACTGATTGACTTGGAGATGAAACATAATTGGCAATATTACACAGGTGTTAGGATGCGGCCAACGATAATGGGATCTATCAATTTATCAGAATCAGGAAGGTATGTTTTTATTCATATTGACTCCAGAATCAAATATTAGCAAAATATAAGCGC